TCTCAATCAAAAAGGTTTAACTGTACTATTTTAGTAACTATATTTATATAGCTATTTCTATTATAGGCATAGAAATGCAGTGATTGGTATACCCTTTCATTCCATCCGAGGCACTATGGCTAATTGGAGGCTTTTGAGAAGACCAACAGAAGTTCCATTAAACATGTTTTTCTTTTAGCACACCTTGATTCAAAATGATATGAGTTATTTGCGGACATACGTTGAGGGAAGTCTTAATTACAACCGCGTCGCAGGCCGAGACTACAAAAGCATAGTAATTCTGGACGAGAATTTTGCAAGAACTCTACTGACGGATGTGACAACTTTTTATATTCATATTTAGTACACTGCCGTTCCTTCGACGACATGGTGTAAAGAGTCACTCACTTTTTTGTGCCTAAAAGATGGATTTGTAAGTATTACTCAAAATTTTAAAGATTGAAGCATTCATAAGCTCTCAGTCCGGGGATTATTAATATATCGTGTAGAAATTTTGCCAGGGCCCAAATCGGGGCCGGATCAGACTACCCTATTAGGAAATGAAACGACGCGCCTAATGTGGCCCTAATTAGGAAATCCACATTTTCTAGTCGACCTGATTTGGCCCTGATCAGGGGTGGCGTTTCATTCCCTACTAGGGCCCTGATAGGGCAATTTCTACACGAGATTATATAATTTCTTATTATTATTTAATTAAATTTGCGTGACACATCGATTCTGAGAAGCAAATGAGTTCCAACATGTGGCCAATAAATTGTAAACATAAATGTTTAGGGAAGTATCACCCACATTCTATTATCTCTAATTAAAATAAAAATACTTTTTTATTTCTGTTATATTACGATTACGTTTTTTCAATCTCTCATTCTCATGTCTTATTATTTTCTGCTCATATGTAACTTCGCGCCTTGCCTTCCTTTTTCTTCCCTTCTCTTTAATTGCTCGATTTATCTTTTTATCATTTTCTTTACTCATACAATTTTTCATTTTTAAATATTCATGTGGTGAAAATTTGTTCACATTATTATCAGTTGTACGAATTCTTTTCTTTTCACTAGTGTCATTTAGAGAATGTTTAATTTTTAAATCTTGTGTAAATAGAACTCTGTTAATGTTATTACTGTGAATATAATTACTAAAAATATAATTTTTATGTTCCTGAGTTCAATTTATGAAAAGACAGTTCTAATCATTCTCTATTATCGAATTCCTATTGTGAGACGTTCTTACTGTCGGAAAATGATTTAAGCGATTATTTTCAAACATTGACTTAAAATGGTTTCTCATTTTGTTATTATCAGTTTCATAATTTACACGGTTTGGTATTACGTTAAATAATATAGATGTTGCAAATGCTATTGCATATACTCCACACTCAACACTACCAAAAGGTTGTTGATCAACAGCTTCAAAAACTACTGTTGGTTTAAAAGGGAACAATCTAATTAAATATTTTATTTGTACAAAGCACTTTGCATATTAAAAAAAGAATTGGAATCTTTTCTTAATAAATCTTCAAATTTGTACATATGGATGAAATTATTGATTACTTAAGAGCGATTGGTCACAATTTACATTTTTAAATATTTTTACACTTTTTGGAACTTTTATTAAATTTTCTGTTGTAACTTTTCTCTTGGAACTTATGTACTTTTGGAACAAACTATTCTTGGAACTTATCTATTGGTACTTTTGGGTTGGAACTTATTTTTTGGAACTTTTATACCCCAATCCTTAAAATAACATACTCTTTTATGTTGGCCATAGTATACTTCGTTTAATTTTATTTTTGATTCATGAAAATCTAAATATCTATAACCCTTTTGCTCACTCTCTCTAATATAACCAATATAACCAACCTCCAATAAAACTACAAAATATCCAAAAGAATGAGAGAACTATAAGTAACAATGAATCAGTAACTACTGATCAGCCAATAAGTGCAAAAAGGACTGTTACGAACTATCGTAACGAAATTATAAATTAAAAATAAATAAATAGTATAATAAATAATTTTCAAGAATAATTGAAAATTATTTAAGAATGAAAATTCAAAGTCGATGCCACAATGTATATAGGCACGTAATTTGAATCCCCGATAATCGCGCGCGTTGAGTGATACTCCACACACTCATACAGACTTATATTCTCGTTGCTTTTAAAGAATGTATCTATGGCTATGATATTATAATATAACTTTGTTAAACTGTTATATTATAATATATTATTTTATTCTACCTTATGTTATATTATTTTATATTATTATTTACAATTAAAATTCTTTATGTCCCAATTAATTATAAATGTTTATAGTAAAATTTGGTTTTATGGCTTTTTATAGGACAAGTAAAAGATATTAAGAAACATCTTTAACGTTTCGGAATCGGTACCGATTCCCTCATCAGAATTTATTTCATCTAAAAGAACAATGTTACAATTAGAACTATTTTAAGGTTATAAATTCAAAAAATGCGAAAAAGAAAAATACATACCAATTAATCCTGAGGAATTAATTTTAATAGTTGTGAATCAAATAAAAGATCATTTCTGAAAAGAATTTTGGTTATATAATAATTTAAAATTTTAAAAATATTTTAAATCTTTTTGTTATTAAATTCAAAACATACCTGTTAGTATTATTAAGAAATTTTTATGATTTGAGAAATGATATGTAAAAAATTAAAATATTTTAAAAAAGGGGAAATTTAGAAAACTTTTTTTAAAAAATTATTAATATTAAAACGGATTTTTTGATCCATTTTTAGTTGAATCACAACCACTAACTGACAAAAACATAGAATCATATGACATGTGGAAAATAGGTTAGGTTAAGTATTGTGTAAGTAACGCAACGTTTCATAAAGACGTTATGATATACGGAGTTTTACAAGAATTTGAAAGTCTTTTTTACGAAAAACAGATTATCATATATAAATACATTAAAGAGAATAATTACAGTAATTTTAAAAGTCTATTATATGTAGAGTCAAAATTTGCTAAATCATTCATTATATTTAAACTTTTGTCTTTTTCTTTTTTTATATAAAACATTTCTGCAATTTTTCTTTTTGGTAAACTACTTTCTTGGTGTAAAATTTTAACATTATTCCAATCAAAATCGTGATCGACACCATCATTAAATTTTTTAAATCTGTGTTTCGTAATAACAGAGTGGTACTTTTTTTCTAAACGGTAGTTAGTTTTATGTTGTTTACATCTGGTTTGAAGTAATCTACAAGTTTGTCCAACATAGGTACTGTCACAGTTTTTACACTCAAGTTTATAAACTACATCTTTATTTTTCATGTTATCCAATTTATCTTTACCAAGTTTAATAAATTTACTAAGAGAAGAGCCTCTTCTGAATAGTGTTGTAATATTATAATTGTTTAAAACCGATTTAAATTTGTAAGAAAGATTGTTATGGAAAGGAATAGAAAAAGTACGATATTTGTCAACTTCAAAGTCTTTTTTAGTTATTTTATTAATATTATTATTATTGTTGTAATTTTGTAATTGAAAAGTTCTTGCTTTAATTTGTTTATTTATAAATTCTAAAGGGTAGTTATTTAATAATAAAATTTCTTTAATTAAATTTAGATTTTCAAAATGGAATCTTTTGTCAGCTAGCAATATTGCAGAATCTACTAAATTTTTAATAATACCAATTTTTTGTTTTATTGGATGATTGGACAAAAAATTAATATATCGTCCAGAATATGTACTTTTTTGGAACCAGTTGGTTATGATCGAATTATCAGGTAATTTTATTATTTTTAAATCTAAAAAGGAAATCGAATTATTTTTCTCAATTTCATACGTGAACTGTAATTTAGGGTTATAACTATTGAATTTTTCAATGATAAAGTCTAATTTATTCCTAGGAACAATAAGAAAAGTATCATCGACATATCTTCTATAGAAAGGAATCTGAAAATTTAATGAATTAAAAACTTCTATTTCTAAGTCTTGTAGGACAATATCAGCTAAATTTGAAGAAATGGGAGAACCCATTGGAGTACCAAAAATTTGTTTAAAATATTTATTATCAAAAGAAAAATATGTAGAATCTAAAAGAAATTTAATACCATTTATAAATTCAATTTTTGATAATTTTGTAAATTTTTCGATCGAATTCCAACGTTTTTCAATGCTTTCAAAAACTAAAGTCGATGGTACATTTGTGAAAAGGGAAACTACATCTAAAGATATCATAATGTGATCTTCCGGGATTTTAATTTTAATAATTTCGTCTTTAAATAATTTTGAGTTTTTGACATTAGTTTTAGGAATAATGAGAGATTTTTTAAAAATATTATTTAAAATTTTGGCTATTAAATAGGTTGGAGAATTAATTAAAGAAACAACAGGACGCATCGGACAATTAGTTTTGTGGATCTTTGGAAGTCCATATAATCTGGCTAAATTTGTATTTTCGATAGAGACGTCAGCTTTTTTCACGTCATTACCCAAGTAACCTTTTAGTCTCCAATTTTCTAAAATCTTAGTGGAATTTTTCTTTAGTTCATCTTCGGGATTGAAATTTAATTTTACATAAGAGTTTGTGTCATTAAGGAGGTCATGAACTTTACTAAAATAATCTTCTCTTTTTAAAATAACTGTGACACTACCTTTGTCAGCATGAGTTACAAAAATTTGTTTGTTATTTTTTAAACCAAGAAAGTAGTTTACCAAAAAGAAAAATTGCAGAAATGTTTTATATAAAAAAAGAAAAAGACAAAAGTTTAAATATAATGAATGATTTAGCAAATTTTGACTCTACATATAATAGACTTTTAAAATTACTGTAATTATTCTCTTTAATGTATTTATATATGATAATCTGTTTTTCGTAAAAAAGACTTTCAAATTCTTGTAAAACTCCGTATATCATAACGTCTTTATGAAACGTTGCGTTACTTACACAATACTTAACCTAACCTATTTTCCACATGTCATATGATTCTATGTTTTTGTCAGTTAGTGGTTGTGATTCAACTAAAAATGGATCAAAAAATCCGTTTTAATATTAATAATTTTTTAAAAAAAGTTTTCTAAATTTCCCCTTTTTTAAAATATTTTAATTTTTTACATATCATTTCTCAAATCATAAAAATTTCTTAATAATACTAACAGGTATGTTTTGAATTTAATAACAAAAAGATTTAAAATATTTTTAAAATTTTAAATTATTATATAACCAAAATTCTTTTCAGAAATGATCTTTTATTTGATTCACAACTATTAAAATTAATTCCTCAGGATTAATTGGTATGTATTTTTCTTTTTCGCATTTTTTGAATTTATAACCTTAAAATAGTTCTAATTGTAACATTGTTCTTTTAGATGAAATAAATTCTGATGAGGGAATCGGTACCGATTCCGAAACGTTAAAGATGTTTCTTAATATCTTTTACTTGTCCTATAAAAAGCCATAAAACCAAATTTTACTATAAACATTTATTATTTACACTATATTATATTATGCTATATTATAAATTACATTACGTATTTAACACTAATATTCAAGCTTGAATATTATAAATATATGCATGAAAAATATAATATAGCGTACTTACCTTATATAAAGATACTAAAATATTATTATAAATAAAACAATCATACTTTACTCATTTTTATTAATAATTTGCAGTAACTAATTAATTAATTGTATGCAAATTATTGTTAATTCATGATTTTTTTTTAATAATGATAAATCGTATTATTATCATTGTTAATTACATTTACTAAAATTAATATTAATAATTAATCATAATTATTATGATAAACAATTGGATATATTACCAATACTATTTTTCTACTTATTAGAATCATCATTATCAAATATTATTTCAAAGAATATGCATTGTATTTGCACGTATGCGTGTGCATTATTTTTATCGTGTGTACGTGTGTTCATAGTATGCCAAAGTGATATGCATAGATATGTGTATACATTGTTTGGTTGCACATTTCTACGCATATTATAGTAACCAACAATAATGTGATTATTATATTGCAATTATTATATTTACGAAAATGTATTATTTTATAAGAAGGGAGAAGAATCGCATACGTCAATTCTATCTATCTTTCTCTCTCTTTCTCACGCGTTCAGGTGCAATGAGTCTCGCAGCGTGGATGCGGTACACACAGACACGTACTCCCCATAGCCTGCGTAACGCATATGTGTGAGGCGCTTAAGGAGTATCGCGCGATGCAAACACTGCCTTCCTTCCCCTATTCTTTTCCTTATAATACCTTCAAATTAAAAAAAAAAGGAAATAAAGATACAATAATTGTTGATAGCTTAAATTGGATCATGTCACATTTTCCAAGCACATATAAACTCGCAACAATTAAGATTTTATTTTAAGAGGGTCAATTTTGTAAAAAAAACAAAATGCATATGAAAAAAAAAGAGAAGAAAATTTTTGAGACATGTATGTCGTGCATATATGCATGTGTACTAAGGTAAATGTACGTGTGTATGCGTAAAATGTATATGCATATATAAAAAGGAAAATAGTTTCATTTTTAATATGAAAACGATAATCTGTGCAGAACTATGACCGCTCTGGAATTCAACAAAGGTTGCGAGTTATACTTTATTAAAAACACACATATACACTTACACATATGGAGATGTGCAGTTCCAATAGTGTCAACAAAGAAAAGAATAACAAGAATCATGGGTTCTGAGAATATCGATGGACGATGATCTAAGTTTTCTTATCGATACCCCTGAAAACCCCAGAATCCTTCTACCCCTGATTCACTAATCCCACTAAGTGCATCTCGCGATGCTCTTTATAAGCAGAAGCTCATAGGGCCTCATTGCCTATTCGTCTTCAGTCAATCACTTAGTACGTGTTACTGATTTTTGCATTATTTCTTTAAAAAGTGAACTTAGAGTTTAAACTGTGGAGAAAGCTCAATAATATACCTGCTGAATCACGATAGATTTTCGTTGAGCCAGGTAAATTAACAGCAGTGCTTAAATTTCTAAAATTAAAATTGCTGAATCACGATAGATTTTCGTTGAGCCAATTTTTAATTTTAAGAATAAGGCCCGTCTGCGAGCTGGCTCCAATTTAAATTCTATTTTCTTTGGGCGGACGTAAAATTAAATCGAACCTTGAACCGGCTGAGTCCCAATCGGTTGATCAGTACAGTGAGAAATTATTTAATAAATTATTTATAATTTATTAAATAATTTTTAATAAAACCGTATTAAAACCGGCCAGTCCGTACGGATTGTACCTGCGCCGCTTGTGTCTGATAGGGTACCGGTACCGCGTTTCGAGACGCGGAAATACGCATAACACCTTTCTTTCGTTTTGCCCGTTGATTGTGTGACGAGATCGCGAGAATTCTCCCTTCTCAACAAGCACTCTCGACGGTAGTGTGTAAGAGAAATCTAGCCGTAAGTAATAAAAAACTGTATCGTTCCAAAAACATTATTCTTTACAAAAGAAAGCATATAATGTGTAATGTTTGCAATTTTTACTTTGATTTTTAATAAATTTTTGTAAACTAAAATTCCAATTGTTCTATTCAATCAAATAGACCTTTTTATTTGTGCTGTCAAAAATAGTGTGGATTTTCATCTCAAAGCTAAGAAACATTATTTACGATATAAAGATTAAATTGGCAGTTTCGTCTTCTATCGGCGATATAATTAATCGAACCCACATTAAAAATAAACATTATTAAGTTGAATGTTCATTTTGACTTTTTAATGGCAACTTGGTTCCTCCGGCGAATAGAAAATTTTAAATAATTGTTCAAAATTACCAACACAATAGAACCTTTGTTAATGAGGATTTACTCTGAGGACCCAGGTAATAATTTCTTTTTTCACATTTATTATATAGAAAAATAAAGATGTACCAACCCTTGCACGGTGTGCCTGAACCAACTTTAAATGACAACTTTTTTTACTTCGAATTTTTTTCTTGCATTCGATTCAGGAGCTCAAAAAAAGTGTGGAAAATAATTTTTAGCAAAATCCATCGAGTTGTTTTAAAAAAAATGATTTTTTGTGTCAAAAAATCGATTTTTGAGAAATTCAATGTGATAAATAAGCGGTATTTCAATTAATTAATTAATATAATATTCTGTATGGGTAAAATGATTTATAAAATGTTTACCAATATCAAAGGAAAAATAAAAAAATAAAAAAAAAATTTTCTATTTCTATTTTGCATATTATATGTTTCTAAAATCAACATTTTTGAAGCAAGAAGCTTCTAAATTAAGTTTTTCAAAATTCACCTATATTGCGCTACGTTAGGCACATATTAAACAAAAGAAAGATGAAAAAATTTGTATTCTTCCACTTTTACGTCAGTGAGGTTATGAGTTTTCCTAAGAAAACATGTTTTCAAAGCCAAAAGTTCGTGCTGAATCACATGATGAAAACCGAAAGAGAATTTGTTTTTTCTGTTTAAAGAAAAAGGAGAAAATGGTAGAAATTAAAGGTGCTTTAAAGGATCGAGTGACAAAAATTGTGACGTTCGATGTAGAAGATAATCGTGTTCCAACTGTTGTTTGCAATGCTTGCAAAATTCTTGTTTATAGTTCGCTCAAAGATAATATTATCTTTAAGATAAAATCTTTGAGATTTTGTAAGAATTGCAAACAACAGTTGGAACACGATTATCTTCTACATTGAACGTCACAATTTTTGTCACTCGATCCTTTAAAGCACCTTTAATTTCTACCATTTTCTCCTTTTTCTTTAAACAGAAAAAACAAATTTTCTTTCGGTTTTCATCCTGTGATCCAGCACGAACTTTTGGCTTTGAAAACATGTTTTCTTAGGAAAACTCATAACCTCACTGACGTAAAAGTGGAAGAATACAAATTTTTCATCTTTCTTTTGTTTAATATGTGCCTAATGTAACGCAATATTGGTAAATTTTGAAAAACTTAATTTAGAAGCTTCTTGCTTCAAAAATGTTGATTTTCGAAACATATAATATGCAAAATAGAAATAGAAATTTTTTTTTTATTTTTCCTTTGATATTGGTAAACATTTTATAAATCATTTTACCCATACAGAATATTATATTAATTAATTAATTAATTGAAATACCGCTTATTTATCACATTGAATTTCTCAAAAATCGATTTTTTGACACAAAAAATCATTTTTTTTAAAAACAACTCGATGGATTTTGCTAAAAATTATTTTCCACACTATTTTTGAGCTCCTGAATCGAATGCAAGTAAAAAATTCGAAGTAAAAAAAGTTGTCATTTAAAGTTGGTTCAGGCACACCGTGCTTGGCCAATAGAACCTTTGTTAATGAAGATTAACTCTGAGTGAATGTACTGTAGGTTTACATTGACATCGGCACGTCTGACGTCTCGAAATTTTTTCCGGGTATTATCACATGGAAATATAAAGATAAAAGTCAAAAACTGAAGAGGTAATGTATATCTTTCTTTTTCACATCAAGGAATATAACATATAAACATTTTCATTTAATATTGCATTTCTCTATCTAGAGAATTCAAAATAACATAAGAATATCTTCGCCTAAAAATCTTACTCTTCTTTTTTTTGTTTTCAAAATAAAAAAAATATGTATATACCAGTATTAGACCCTCAGCACAATTACCACAAACAATACCAATCCTTGGACAATAGAGCCTTTGTTAATGAAGATTCATTCTGAGGGGCCAGGTAAAAATTTTTAAATTTTTTTATTAAAATTTTCTGGGGCTCTAATACAGGTAGGGGAGAGTGATAAACAGTGGGACAGTTTAAACAGTAGGACACTTTAATTTTCTGAAAAACTATTTAAAGAAACTCGCCAAAAATTTAAATGTAAACCATGTTTATGACAACACACTATCTCCAAAAATTTTAGCCACATTGATTCATTATTTACAAATAAACTTGAAAAAAACTGTTTTTGACGTTCCGGAGTAATTTTTTTCTTGAAATACAATGCTGATTTTTATATAGATAGGACAGTTTTAAAAAAAGTGTAATTGTTACTTCGTTTACTCATGTTTTTAAGTATAATATCGAATAATTTAAAATATTTTAAAATTTTACAAACAATTTTTATTTAAATAATTTCTTGCGATTGCTCAATTTAAACAGTGGGACATTAAACACTGGGACAGGCAAAAATTTAAGTTTATGAAACGTGGATTTTGGCAACACTAATTATAAGTTGTGTCAGTTATACGCATGCGTATTTATACGTACACAGCGCCTAAAAATGTAATTTTTTTATGCTAAAAAGATTAAAA